CTACAAGCAAAAACCTGTGTGCTGCCAAAAATATTTGAAGGATGCTGTAATCACATAGTTGCTTTAAAATCAATTCAACACTGCTGCAGCTGCTTCTGTAATGACAAATATGTAACATCTTAAACAGGCCAGACAGTGAAGGGATTAAGCCCGACTTTAACTCTCAATTAGTCGCCCCTGACTAATTTCAAAATCAGGCCAACTTTCTCCCAGACTTTGTCATTTGACGTTCAGTTTGAGGGGGGTCATGGCGCCTGATTAACTGCCTCAACCATCAACAATTTCTGGCATGTCAGAAATTTTGGTCAGCTATCTTGCAGTTTCAACACTTCCACAATCCACTTTCCTACATGCTGCCAAACAATCTGTTACAACAGGTGTTGAGCTTGTTTTAAAATGATCTAATTACTGGAGAAGTGTTTTACATACTGTAGCTAAAACTGTACTTCTGTCAGATAAAACTGAACTTCGCTGCAGACCAGACAGACCATGCAGTCTGCACCTTCCAGCCATCTGTAACCTACATATATATATATATATATATATATATATATATTTTTCCTCTTATACTTTCAAAATAGAACTGCAAAAATTAATGCTGCCTTTCTCCCCTTTGAATTAACTTTGTTGGGACGGTCACTGGATAAAACCAAACACAGTGAGCATTAAAGTTGCAGGTTCTGGCTCGGTAAAAATGCAGTGTTTGCCAAGCTTTAGAATTCTCTTTCCCTAAAAGCACCTTAAGGCCAGCATATGATTCAGCATAAACATGTACAATGAAGATCATCATAGCTTTAAAATACTTCTGGTAAACAAAGACAATAGTGTTTTATATGAAGAACTGTTTGAAGGTCTGAATGGTTCTTTACCTGGGACTAGGGCTGAACGATATGGAGAAGATCAAATATCATGATATGTTTAACCAAATACCTCGATACTGAGTAGGGCTGACTATTGATGCTTTCAGAAAATATGTACACAATATTTCTGACAAATAATTATCAGTAATGTGGATATAGTGATTAAGTGGGTAAAGGAAAATAACAGGACAAGTAGATCAGCCTGGTAAGTTCAGAAAATTACATCACTTTACTGTAATGTATCACTGGGCAATATGCACTGAAATTATATCTTGATATTTTTAATATATATCTCAATGTTTTTAAATCTCCTATACAGCACTTCATCAATGTTAGGACTGGGAGATAAAATCAAACATAATATTTCTTAACAAATACCCTCTCTGATGCGACAAAGTTGTGGCGATGGCGACAGAAAATATTAACTCAATGACATTTTTGATCAATAATCATCAGTAATGTGGATATAACAACTAAGTGGGTTATGGCAAGTATTAAAACAAATAGAAGTTGATACATTTACATCACTTTGCTGTAAAGCAGTCTTTAAAATAGGGCTGCAACTAACGATTATTTTCACTGTCGACTAATCTGTTGATTATTTCTTTGATTAGTCGACTCATCATTTTATTGAAAAATGTGTCAAAATGTTGAAAAATGTCAGTCTGTCTCTCCCAAACCTACATCATCTAATGTCTTGTTTCGTACTCACGCCAAAGGGTTTTAGTTCACCGTCATGGGAGAGTGTGTAAAGCTGCCAATATTTTAACTTAAGAAGCTGAAATAAGAGAATTTTGTGGTACTTTTATAGTACTTTTCTATAGAAAATGACAAATCGATTAGTCGGCTACTAAAATAGTCACAGATTATTTTAATAGTCGATTAGTCATCGATTAGTCGACTAATCGTTGCAGCCCTACTTAAAAACGCCAGAAAAAAACACCATTTATGCCATTTCACGATACAATGGTATCCAAAATCTAGACCGATATATAGTCTGATATCTCGATAACGATAAGATCTTCATATTGCCCAGCCCTACTGTAATGCAGCCTTTAAAACCAATAAAAGACAACACTTTCGATATTACGATATCCAAAATCTAAGGCGATATCTAGTCTCATATCACGACATCAATATATTATCAATATACTGGATAGTCCTACATGGGACCACCAATAATGATGACAGGACCATTGATTGAAAGTCTTCAGAGGACACTGTATTAGATTGAAACAGACCTGTACTGTAGACCTACTTTTGGTTCAACAAATTTACATAAAATATCTAGAGATGGGCAGACTAAACATAGCCTCAGTGCATGACAGTGACAATGCAGCTGCGCTTCCAAAGCATACTTTCATCAAGACAGAAATTTACACTTCTAACGGGACATTTTGACATCATTGCTTTTTTAGTCACGGATACACAACAAATTCTGTAATGAGAGCCGCAGTTGCAAGTACACACATCCTCATTTTCACACTGCCAAACCCACTGAAAGGAAAAACCCTGAACCATAATGAACTAATAGAGAAAAACACCACTGAAACTGCACACTTCTTTCCTCCTACATGAGGAAGTCAAATCACTCACTCTAAATGAGAAATGATAGTGAATATTTCAACCACACACAGGCTAGACTGTAAAGTTTTACAGAAGTGAGGAGAATGACATGGCACCATCTAGAACTGCTTTGCTTCATGACTTTGCTTTTGCGTGCATCATGAGCTGAACAGATTTTTATGTTATCAGGTCAACTAGATAAAAAAGTGCACTTGTCATTCCCTTTTTCAAGTTCCTTTTTCAGCAGGTGACCTTGGTTAAAATATCAACTGTTCAAACAGCCCTAGATGCATGAGCAGTCAAAAGAAAACATGTCAGACAGCAACAGACGAAATCATGAGAGAAAATAAGGAAATGGAAGAAAGCGCGTGCAATAACTGAGATTATGAAGATAAGAAGAGAGACAATTACGGGAAAAAAAAATCCCCCCCCCATTTCTCAACTTTAGCAGAACTCTAACGCCACTTAATACATCAGAATTTTATGCTTGTCATTTGACCAGGGAAATTTTCAGCCACATTAGATTTTTGGCCATCTCGAAAATGCACAGTTGGTATTTTCCCCTAGGCTGTGAGGACAGATTTGGCTGCTTGAGGCCAATGGGAGCACATAGCAAGCACTGAGAAAGAGGCAGTGGCAGGAAAAAGAGCTCATCACTGCATATCCATAAGATTATACTGTCATAACACTCAAACAAGGGCGCTGTTAGAGGGTATCTGAGTCAACAGGAGCTATAAATAGGACATGAAGTAAATAGGGCCCCATCACTGCAATATGAACATGCATAGCTGAATAGTGAAAGCTTAAGTTTCGGGGGGGGGGGGGGTCCTAAACGTGAACTCACAACCTGGCAGCTGATGGGTGCAAACGTTGTCCATGGGTCTTCCTGAAAGCCATTTTCATGCCCTACAAATTGGCCTCTATGCTCCAGAGAAATATAATATCATCAGCCCTCAAGCAAATCATGGTGGTAATCAGGTCTCCACCATCTTTCTGTCCCTAACCTCCCTCTGACTCCCACTGAGAACAGAGCTACAGCAGACCAAATGTCTCTCTCCCCCTCTCACCTCCCTGAGACCTTAATGAGAGACTGTGAAGAGGTCTGTCAGTGTGACAATAATAAAAGAAACTACTATTCAGCAGCTGCAAAAAAAACCTTTGACAGACACACATGCTACCCCTTCAAATCACTCAGAACTAACCACATATCTCCAAATTAATATCTGCCAGATAAAACCACTCCAGCCATATTAATCTGCTGATTGTTTCACAGCACTGTTGAAGTTTTGCAGCGGGGCCACACACAAACACGAGCCGCGAGAGCTTGCCAACAATTATACACCCTTATCGGCCATTGTGCTACTGAAGCATGACATTTAGTCTGGCTTTGGTTGTGTAAGGTAGAAACAATGTTAGGAGATAAGCAGAGGGAACAATTATCTAAAATCTTGCCCCAAAACAGAAATGGTTTCACTTACACAGTACATTTGCCTACCTATTAGTGCTCTCCCTGAGTGGATGGAAGTTAACATTTCCCTACTAGTATGCAGTTATTAGTTACTGTCTTTGAATTGGTGCTAAAGGGATTAGTCTACTGACACACAAATAAGTCTTTAGCAGCTTCTCCAGTGTGAATAGGTAGGCTTTTATGTGCTTTATATTAAGTAATCAGAATATATTTGGATTTGGGACAGTGTGAAGCTGTCACCTTGGACTTTGGGAAACTAATGGATATTTTTCAGTATTTTTCTGACATTTTATAGGCTAAATTATTGTGTAATTGTTACTAAATATCAATAAATATTAATGAAACTCCAATGCATCATCAAAAAGCCATATTGGGAGGCAAGAAAGAGATGATAGACTGACAACAATACCCATTTATGTGTGTCAAATCACAGCTAACAGGCTGTTAAACACAAGTACAGGCAATCATAAGTTAATTTTAGGGAATGCCTCCATTGTGACCATGACCAAGCTGGCTCCAATCACTGCACAACAACTTCAACTTGAGCATTAGTTAACGTTACATGTAACATACATGTACTAAGAGGGAATGCAGTGACTTAGAGGATGCAGTTTGCATGATAACCCGTTAACTGTGGCTGCCACTGAGGCGTCCTCTCCATTTTCAGTCTCAGGATAAAAAAGCGTTAACGTGGTGCTCTGCACGAAATGAAATGTAGCCACCTTCAGTGGCTGTGCTGCAGTTTTATCTGAGCTTTTATCTTGTAACTTAAGCCTGACAGCGTGTCACGCTATCTAACTTGGCTAACGATAACCCGGCTACGAAAAATCCACCAAAAATGCCATTAACGGCCAAAAATGTCTCGGTTACAGCCAAACTAACCGCTAACCAGCTGGGTAACCGTATGTTGGCCATGTTGGCAAGGCGACAGACTGGTTTTGTCTGGGTTAACAGTTAGCTGTTAGCCGACGTGACTTGTAACGTTACTCGCTGAATCCAAAGGATAGCAGGAGCTAGCCTGTAGCTCTCGGTAGAAACGTTACTGCGGTAGCCTGGATCAGATAGCTTCACCGTCAGTGGCAGCTCAGATTCACACCGTGTCTTACCTGATTGCTGATGGCCACCTCTTCTTATCTCCTTCTGGAAATATTCAGCGTCTGGAAGCGTCACTCAAGTGATATCCAGAAACCTCGCTGGGAGCCAGATATTTTTCCACTCCAGCAAGCTAGCCTAGCTGATGAGACGCTGTGCCCCGTTGGAATAGCATTTCTATATCAAAGCATGTCATTGCTCAGTAGTACAGCTAGGCTAGCTAGCAGCAGCTTCACAAGCTGTTCGGATGCCAAGGTCCCGCCCACTCGTTTCCGAATGGCTGCGGAGGAATCAACTCTGTGTTGATTGGTCCGCGGCGCTGTCAGTCAATCACACTGCAGCTGCTGATGTTTTGCACTCCCATAAGCATCCATCATGATTTTTGCCTTGTGAGGCTAAAGACTCAACCCAAACGCCACTATAAAAGAAATATGACTATGAAAAGAGATAGACAAATATATCATATTAGTCTTTACTTATATATTACTCAATATATAAATTAATTTGGCTCTAAATCAACTGCAAAAAGAAACTTTTACTCCAGGCCATTACAGCACTGAGTGGGGCTTAGATGCCATGTTGTATGATTTTGTGAAAGTTACAATTTTTGCAACTCTATTTTTAATTTGCAACTAGATAAAGAAATAGAAATAAATATAAAAGAGTGGACAATCAGCTCACAAAAAATGAATTCTTTTTGAATGTATGATAGCCTTAATGTTAGCTGCAGCTGGCAATATGTTGTCTGTACTTGAACTATGGCCTTATATGTTGAATAGATACTGTAGAGACACCTACCATTATCGAGCTGGCTATCCCATTTCTGACACAGGTGTGACAACTTCTGCTTTACAGAGAACGAGTCTGACGTTAATCTGCTATGTGTCAATAAAGATTGACAGAGCTCTGAATTACTACTTGTCCTCTGTGAAGCACAAGTTTTCACAGTATATTCAATGGCTGGAAAGTTGCTTTCCACTAAAAACTGCTCAGTCATCTCTACAGTGCGGCACAAATAGAGACACACACACACATTCATACAATAACTCATCATCTGATTCCATTCAGAGCCCTCCTGGGAAGTGATACTTCTAATAAACATGTCTGTGGTGAGGAGGGTTGCAGAATAATTTGGAAGGTTGTGCAGCTCGCTGCAGGATGCAATCTGTTTCCTGCTCAAACAGATGGGCCTCCTCTACATGTATTCTGCTTTCTGCACCCAAAATCCCATCTCAAAACAAGACTGATGCAACACATATAATGGAGACTAAACCCACTTTATCTCTGTTTATTCACCCTTTGAATAAATACACTTTAACTATGAAGTTTTTTAAAGGAAAACGTGACATGACAGAGCGCATGTTTTCAAAGTCAAATACAATTTCACACTATTACGTGTTTATGATGGTGGTTGTTCATCTTTTGGTTGTAAATGGATTGAGGTTGTGGTTTACTCACCATTTTATTGACTGTGACATCAGTGATAGTAGATTGTCATCACACATTGATCTGATTTCAGCGACACCACTGCTGTGTGTGGTTATAATATAACCACAAGGCTGATTATTCACCATTTCAATAGAAATATGTTAAACATTCAACAGAGTGTCATAAATTTATAACACTTTATCAAGTCATAAATTAGTCCAATCTCTGCTTCTGCTCAGTAAATAAAAAGGGTTTAGATGAAGTGTGTCATGCCAATTGTTTTATCTTGTTTTAATGTAATAACAGCTTAATATTATTAACTACTGAATATACTACTAATTGCCTTCATGATTTACTGTAATAAAACATAACTTCAGCTAACTCTGAATGAATAATGGAGTGGATTTTGAATGCCACCTGCTGGGCTTCTAGTGAAACACCCATGTTGAGTCCCTTCTGAACCACAACATGTCCTCTTTCATCCGCACTGCATCATCATTGTCATTATTTCATTCCATCACTGTTGCTTTGCCTCAGGGAAATCAAAGAGACCGACTGTCCTGGCTCTGTTCTCTACACAGAGAAAGGAAACAGTGCTGGTGAGCCACTGAATCGGCCACTACGGAAAAAGCAGATGGTCTCATGTTGTTAAAGGGAACTTTAATTCAATACAGTGCACATGCCTCGGGGCATTAGTTTGATATGCGTCTGAAAGTAAACAGAAGCAGCGTCCAGGGACGTGATCGCTAGTGTTAGATATCAAGCGGCTGCTGGGGCCAGAACGGACGTTAAAGGCAGTCAGAAAGGTGCAGTTTGTGCACAAAATATTGTACATGGAATAATACGGATTGCTAGTTTCCTTGTGCACAAAATAATCTTTGATGTCCCATAAATATCAAAAGTCTACTTGTAAACTGAGGCACATTTAACAAGAACAGCCCCAGTTATACACTATACGACAGGACCTCTATCCCAGCACATAAAGGTCACTTTATCCACCCCTGACTCCTCTATAATGCCATTTCATTTGAAGAAATTCCACAACAGATTAAGGCTAACAAAAGCAATACCAGTTATTTTATGAAAACATGGGTGGTATTTATTTTTATTCTTTCTTTCCTTGTATGTGTGAATGATTTCTGGGCTGACATTTACACACTGTGACAAGTGTGGCAGTGCGACAACAGAGGGATACACCACACCTTGTTGATGTTGTTATTATAAAAAGGTGCATGTCATCATTAAAATGATCATTTCACACTGCCACTCACAAGACCAGATTCAATATGGTTTAAAATGCTGGAGCAAAATGAATCACAAAAATTAAACTGGCTCTTTTTTCTTTTCTTTTCTTTTCTTTTTTTTTTTTTTTGCTGATATTTTGGTCTTTGACACATTTTGACATTAAAGCAGAACTATCAGGGGGACATAGTCACCATACTACATTTGTCTTTTATTTCACACACAAATATTAAGACATTAGTTACACAACTGGCACCCTTCCAACAACACAACAATACAAAATCATCAGATGAAGATCCAGACATTCTTTAAATTGCACAACCAAGCAACATTGTAAACAAATAGACTGACATATCCAAACTCATTTGATGGGCGAGTCAAGGATCTCTTGATAATCCTGCCGGATGGCCCTGCTCACCCTGTACAGCTTGACTCCTGTCAGGGTGAACACACTGACCATGATGACCAGACATCCGATGACATCGTAGACAGACGGGATCATCCTCAGAACAATGAGCTGGAGGAACATGGCAACCACGATCTCAAGGTGCTGCACTGTACTGACTAAGGCTGGATGAAACTTGTTTAGAGCATAGTAGACTCCGAGGAACGCCACGGTGGAGCAGATACAGATCCCAATTAAATAGCCCCAGGTCTCCCCATCCAGAGGAATGATGGGCTCCTGCATGATAAACATGGTGGAGGCACCCCACACCGTGCCCGTCCAGCCGAAGGTAAAGAGTGCCGTCCACATGCTGACACGCTCCTTGATGGCTCTGTAGACGATCATGGAGAGGGCAGCGGCCAAGCCGGCCATCACTGTCATTGTGTAGCCAAAAGCCTCCTTCCAAAACCCCAGCCTGGACTTCTCCTCGTCTGCAACATTTGGCACCATGACCAGGCACAGGCCGAACACACTCCCCACCACTGTGACCACATCTGTGTAGCTCAGCCTCTCATCCAGCAACAGGAAGGCCAGTATTGCGCTGAAGACTGTGGTGGAGGCACGCCACATGAGGGTGCCGTTACTGGGTGGTACTATGGCAAAAGAGGTGTAGGCGCAAGTGATTGAGATGACGTTGCACACGCCATAGAAGAAGAGACGTAGACGGTAGCCTTTAGGGCCAAAGGGGGCCTCGTGGTAGTAGAAGACCACCAGGATGGACAGCACCTGGATCACGGAGCGGATGAAGAGCAGCTCGAGGGAGGGCACTTTAGAGCGGTCGGCTGCTAAACGAGTAATCAGTGCCACACAACCGTGAGCCACTGCTGCCCCAAACAAGGCCATCCAGGTCACCCTGGAGGCCAACACATTCGCCTCTCCGAAGCTGGCCAGCTGGCCCCCGACCCCCTTGTCTCTTTGCACAGTTGGCTGCTTGGGCTGGGTCTCCATGGTTCCAAACAAAGTCCTGCTACCTTTGGGGTCTGACACAAGTCTCTTTCCCACACTAGATTCTGCAAAGGCGCCAAACTCCTCAAAAGAGGGTGCGTCATCATACCCTTCATCGCCAGGCTGGGGGAAGTGTGTGGCATATTTCACTGTCACTGTGTTCGGGTGGATCTTAACCCGCTTTTTTGATCCATACTGCAGCGAGGATGAGGATACATCCATGTTTCCTTATGCGTCAGAGGGGGTAATCTGAAAAACGGAATAACAATTGTTGCAGTGTTATTGAGATGAAATGATATTCAAATAAATCACTGCCCTGCGGGCTGATTTTATCTCTCTAATCAGCCAAAACACAGCCTTTTGAAAACAGAGAGAAACGTTTGCATAATTCATACCATTTCCTAAGTATCCACATCTCACACCCACACACACACACACACACACACACACGTGCTGCAGACACACACTCCTGCATGCACACGGGTAGAGCACACACTTGCTGTATCACCCCTATCTCACTTACCTTTTCACTCTGCCCGGCCTTACACTTGTGTAGTGTTACTTCTATATATATCCCATGCAAGCTCATATAAGCCGAGCAGCAAACACTCTGAGGCTGATGCAGTCTGATGGGATGAAATTACATAACAGGAAACCACAGAGGGGACGATACATGAATGTGGGCCACGTATGAGATGAATGGAGTTGCACACCATAAATTAACAAACCCTGAAACAAGAAGTGTGTGAAAGGGTTAAATGGTGCTGGATAGTCTGAATGGTCGCCTCAGTGGGGAGAGATTTCTGATGCTTTTCTTAAGAAACTGAATTTTGCTTAAGGGTGACATTACAGAATGTTATCATAAAGGTAACACATTTTATTATAAAAGAAAGAAAAAAAGAAAATCCTGTAGATATTAAAAATACTATTATTAGCACTATTTTTTTTATATTAATGTTACTACTATATTTATTCTGTCAGTCCTTTCAGACACAGCATGATTTAAAACCACAAGGGGGCAGATAGATACTCCTATTTGCCTTCTCCCCTCTTACATGCGGTTGCTCCTCCCTTTTGAAATATACATACATAACTTGATGCTTAATAATAAACGATGGCAATGTAATGTTGTGTCTAGGGTAATTAAATTGAAATTAAACATCTTAATATTGTTGAGTTTGAAACACAAAACTCAATGCTGTGAGCACTTACATCCAATTTAACCATGGCTTAGTAAAAAAATATTATTAGGCTATTTTCAGAAATTCGAGACAGAAAATCGCGAAAAAAAATGAATTTCTCCGTCAGATTATGATTCAAATTGATAAAAGGTTGCCATGTGAATAAATAAAATAATATAAATTTAGGTTTAAACTGACGCAAACAGCGTCTTTCCAAGCTTGATGCGTTAAATTCGTTATAAACAGACATTTTACGGACGCTCCTGTGTGACGCGTTTGCGCACTTAACTGAGTGCATGAAGAAAAACACAATATCGCCTTACCTTTTGTTACTTGAATAGTTCCTATTGATGCATGAACCCGGGTTCGTATCATAAATGAAGATCTCGTTTCATTTCTTGCTCCTTACATTTGGTCATCTGCCATTTCCCCATCTTCCCCCTTCGAGTGGAGCGCCTCTTGGAGATGCGTACTGCTTATTTGTTCCCCACGCTGTCGATGGACGCTGCTGCTGCTGCTGCTTCTGCTGCTGCTGAAGCTGAAGCTGCTGTTGCTGAAGGCGATGATGATGATGATGATGATGATGGTGGTGGTGGTGATGATGATGATGAAGCTGAAGCGGGAGGGGGGAAGCCAGGGAGAGAAGCAACTGTCACTGTCACAGCCAGTGGTTTCTCCTCCTTGTCCTCCTCCCCACTTCTTGCCACCTAGACTCGCTCATTCGTCATCTCTCAGGAGAGAAAAAGGATGTGCGTCGGTCACTCATCATCATCATCATCATCATCACTACGGTCATAATATGAAATCCCATCCTTTAAGAGGAACATTTGATTTGTCCATTTGAAGTAATTATGACATAAAAGCTTTCCCACTATCTTCAACATGCATCAGCTTAATTGCACTTTACATGATATATGCAATTAGTCTATTATGTAAAGGTTTGGGTTTACCCTCTGCTACTTTGCTGATTCTTAGGCATTTTTGCAACACCTCCTCCGAGAATCGCCACCTTACCATGGTGGAGGGGTTTGCGTGTCCCTGTGAGTCAGCACCTTCAAATCTGAGTAGTTCTCTGCCGGAAACTGGTGGATTGCCCCCTCCGGGTTGGGGGAGAGTTACTGCCTCAAGCGAGGGAGTTCAGAAGTCTTGTTCACGAGTGAGGGTAGAATGGGACGTGAAATAGATCAGCGGTATGCGGCTTCTGCAGTGGTGCAGGTCTGTCGTGGTGAGGAGGGAGCTGAGCCAGTAGGCGAAGCTTTCGATTTATCCATCTACGTCCCAACCCTCACCTATGGTCATGAGCTCTGGGTGGTGACCAAAAGAACGAGATAGATACAAGCTGCCGAAATGAGTTTCCTCCGTGGGGTGGCTGGGCTCAGCCTTAGAGATAGGGTGAGGAGCTCGAACATCTGGAGGGGGCTCGGAGTTGAGCCGCTGCTCCTTCCCGTCGAAATGGGTCAGTTGAGGTGGTTCGGGCATCTGATCAGGATGCCTCCTGGGCGCCTCACGCTGGAGGTGTTTCGGGCACGTCCAATCGGTAGGAGGTCCCGGGGCGGACCCAGAACATGCTGAAGGGATTATCTGTCTGGCCTAGGAACGCCGTGGGGCCCCCCACGAGGAGCTGGAAAGCGTTGCTGGGGAGAGGGATGTCTGGGGTGCTTTGCTCGGCCTGCTGCCCCTGCGACCTGGCCCCAGATAAGCGGATGAAAATGGATGGATGGATGGATTTGCAACATCTTTGTTTGGCATGCATCGTCAAATACATACTGAATGAACTTTATTTTATTTAGTGTTGCAGCTTGAAGTGATTGGGATTCCCATAATCCTCTGGGATTTCCTCATTTGTTCCAAGAAGACTCTCACGAGACGGCCATCCTCCCTTGTGTGCTGTGCTCATTTCACCACTTGTTCCTAACAGCCAAGAACAATAAATATCTGTCTGCTTTTAGGAGGATCACTTCAACCATCCCTGTCTAAATACAGTGATCCACTTTGCAAAGAGGAAGCCACATGTGCTGAATACTGATGAAAAACAACCTCAAAGTAAAGGGGAGGTGACATATGCAGGTTGACGAAAGGCATGGCAAACATTTGTAGTCATTACAAGATGGGAGAAGTTGAAAGCACTTAAATTAGATTGTTGAGTTTACGCCCAAGGCAATGCAACAGGAGCCCTGGCTGGTAATATAGATCATACTGCCACTAGCTGCCACTGCCTTCAACATGTAACATGACTGTGATTTTAATTGGTACAGAGCACCGAGGACGGTGATTTGTGATGTTGTGGCAATTAAATCTGCGTTTACATTGAGCTATTTACAGTGAATCAGTCACACAGTGGGGAATATGAACTTAAAGGGACGTAATTGAGCTATTATGGGTGCAATAACTGTAATAGTATATGATCATTTTATTATCCTATAAATAATAGAATAGTGTGCAAGTCAACTTTGCAGAAGACGAAGAGATGATGGGTTTTAGTATACTTTATAATGACAGTTTTGACGATGGTTTAAGGGCCTGTCATATTTATATAATTGAGAGTAATTAAAATGTGAATGAATAATTAGAAAAAAATGCGGGACACAATCCTTCCTCAGGCCAGTTGCATTAGATCTTCACTCACACTGGTTACCTTTCCAAGAACAATAATGCAGTCCTTCAGAGTTCAATGTGAAATAGGTTTACTGTGAGTCTTCAAAGATTACACCCATAAAAAAAAGCAGAGCTGGTCCCAGGAGCAGACTGAACTGTCTCAATATGCTGTTCACATTCCCCTTCTGTTGTGGGCCTTGTTGGCAGAGCCTTCCTATCGTTACACACTCTGATCTCTACTCCCTACCTCTGCCACCATTGTTTCTTAAACTCAGAACTCCGTGACATCACCTGAGTGCAGAGCGCCAATACACACACCAACACAGTAGAGATGGCATTATTACAGAGCAGTGACTGACAACAACCCCGACCACATCTAAGATTACTGTTTGTGGTGGAAATGCTAAGCAGACCTAGGGTCTAGGTGCCATGTCTGAAGGGTTACTTGTGGTTCCAAAGGTACCATACCAAAAGTGCTTGGTGGAAATGAGGCTTATGACGCTAGTTTAGCTTAGCATAAAGAGTGGAAACAGGGGAAAAGAGCTAGCCTGGATCTATCCAAGGCTAAAATCAACCTACCTGCCTAAAGCTCACTAATTAACATGTTATATCTCATTAACATGGGCAGATTTTTTTAACCTATGGACAGAGCCTCGCCATCTCTTTCCTTGTTTCCAGCCATTAGGCTAAGTGAAGCTAACCTTAATAAATAATGCACAGACATGAGCGTGGTATTCATCTTCACATCTATCTCTTAGCAAGAAAGACAATGGACGTATTTCCCCACATTTCCTACTATTGCTGTAAAATCCTGTCATTGGTTTATTGGTTGTAAGCTCCTTTAGTCCTTTCTGTCATCTTTGTGGGTTCAATATTTTCCCCTGACGCTAATTAGGGAACACCTCAGTTTTCCACAAAACATGACTTTCAAAATGTCAACTGTGAGTGCAATGGTTTGATCTGACATCCCTCCCCCAGGAAATTTTGAGCATCAGACAGTTAATTTCTTGCATTCTGGTGAATTCATGGCTTTTCCGTATCAGCTTAAGGTGGAAATATGTTTAATTTCATCTACTTGGGGGGTATAACTGAACAACTTGAACATCATCTCCTCCATGTCTGGATGTGTATGAAGTTGTTACTGCCTAAGCTTCCAGCGCCCATGCCACAAGATTAAGTCAAGGGAAGAAAAACACACGATGAGGTATAAACTGTCTCACAGCTCGTTGAACCACAGTGAAACTGGGTGGCAATCGCACCATGTCTTTTCATTTTACCATCCAGGGTGCATAATCACGACATAAGAAATTCACGAATGGTTTCTATGATTTACTTTTGGAAAAATTCTGACTGTGGAAGAGCTGTTCAAGAAAGTGAAAAAATGTAGGGTTTTTTTATTATCTCACTTAACAGGAGCATGAATCTGCTCTATTAAATAGGCTATCTCTGGGGAGATAGCAACACGTTAAGCTTCTCTAAGCCTCACTACACTCATTTTATGTCAGGGAGCTTTAGCAAAGGATCCACTGGCAGAAGCTTTCCTCAAAGTAAAAGTCTATTGATTATATTGTATATCAGCTTGAATTTAAAGTCATTTTGCAATCTTAATACATATATTCAGTTTAAAGACCTCATATAGCGTGAACTCATCAGCTAAATGTGTGGAGGAGGACAATGTCAAACAGATGTGAGCACATAATGAAGACTAATTACAGGCGATAGCAGGTCGTATTTGTTATTATGCCCTTCTTTGTACCACAGCAGATTTCAAGACAGTAAAAAATCCAGCAAACATAACAGATAATTATCTAGCATGCACAGGAATAACACTCCACTCACACTGTGGTTAATGAGTGGAAAAATCTCAAGTCATGTGCAAAACTTTGTACTTTTCCTGCGAGGAACAAGGTTGTGCACTGGTTAAAAAAAGCAACACTGAAATTTACTATTTTTTTACACTGATCTGATTTCACACAGAAATGTCTATCGTGGACGTTTGCCAGGCTGACATTTCAAGCATTTTCATTTCCGTATCTGTGAGCTGTTTTCTTGGCTTGACAGATTTCAATGGAGGCTAAATTTTTGCAGCCCAGAGGAGCTACAGTTCTTTAACTTTCTCTGCAACCTTCTCTTACTTTTTCTTCTTTTTTCTTTCAATGAGTTGGTTTTTTATTGAAAATGGGATTTTGTATGATCCCTATTGGCTTTTTGGTGAGCTTATTGGAGAAAATATAAGAGCCTAAGTGTGTATTGTATCGATCACCTATTTGTTTTTTTGTCTGGTCCCTTTAAAAGGCTTTCATAATGAACATGTGGCTCATCTATCTTCCGTCTGAGGCTTAGGCCATCTGTCATTGATTAAGCAGTTATATCTCAGCTTTATTGGCCGGGGAGCAGAAAACGACAAACCACCATCCCTTCTACTGGTGCAGTGACTGACAGGCTTATACTGCAATTTAAGGATTTGGAGAATAGGGAAGGTGAGAGCAGGGCTGGCATGGAGCAAATAAAGTGGAATGAATGGAAGACGCCGGCTTAAATAGGCAATCTGTGTGTGGGCGGTGGGAGAATAGATGTAGTTCTTGTTGCGTTCACCTTTATGTCCGATGAAACCAAGTACCATAGTGAATGGGATCAAGCATGCCTGACATTTTCCTTACTAACCAACAAGACCAGTGCTAAATATCAACATGCATGAAAGCTATGTGTTGTTATATACTTTGTATACTATTGTGAATCCTGTGGATTTGCATCGAATGAATCAAGGATTCTGCAGATTAGCTGGGGGCTGTTAGACTTTGCCTGCAAGAACACACTGTTAATGTTCGCCCAGCTGTCAGGACTAAGCCAAACTTTCTTCCAACATGATGCTACCTGCAGACATTGCTCTGAGAATAGCACATCCCCGATGGCAAGCTACCCGCGCTTTTGTTTCTGTCTATTTGCTGAATCCAAAACCAAACAGAACCTCATTCTTGCATGAATCATAAATGGGCCAGCTCAGCAGTTTGTCCTAAATTGAGCCTTTTTAATTATGTATGAGCTGAGGAGGATTCCTACTTTCGAAAAAAGGATCTTCCTTTCTGGTTTTGATTTTCTCCTCCACCATGATCACAAAAGAAAACAAGACAAAACTAACAAATGGTTTCCTTGTATCAGTTTTCATACAGTATGAGGAA